CGCGTACAATATTATAGTCAAACGATCTTATCTGTATACACCTCGGATCTATTATATAATGTTCTTTATTCACTGCAATTGTTCCGTTCATTTTAATTGCATCTGTATTGACGCTTTATTGAGTGCTGCTGCAATACAAGTGGATCACGTCACGTTGGATAATCGTCGCTTTTTTGATATTAGCAATATTAATCTTTTTGAAAAATGAATTTTCGAAGAACAACAAAATGTTGCGGAATCTTTGTTGTTGTTGTAGGTTGAACGTATTAAAAAGTACGAGTTGTTGCATTGAACAAGCTTATGTTGTGCGGCAATTGTTAATTTAATCACTCTCAGTTGAGACATTGAAATCGGTAATCTGTTCAGTATGTTGATGTGAATTATTTGTTCGATCGGTTATGATTGTTCTATGTGACGACTGATTGATGATTGCACGTCAATGTGCAATTTGCATAGAGACGTCATCTAAATAATGCTTGCACCATTTTTTTGCTCGCGTTTATGTTTCGGTTATTGCAAAGAAATTTGTTAGTGCATTATTTATACAGGTATCATATTTATGTTGATTGACCGACTTATCAAACGTTTATAACGTTGCTGCCCATAACGAAAAAAAATTTAGCTTGCCTTCTAAATTATCTCTCTATTCGGTCTTCCTGGAGGTCATCCCNGTCCGTTGCTAGTGGCGAGCCAAACGTAGCTACTGCTTCCTAAATATGCGATCACCCGTCATTGCGATAGTAGTTAGATGGGTGCAGCCTTTCAGCTGTTCAGTCAATATTCCATTCATTCACTGGTTGATTTGACAGAGTTTCTTATGTTGATTAACCGCTTTCGTCTTCTGCATTTTTGGATGCCCTGATAACTCTTGGAGATCTCTTCATTACAGCGATTGCTAATTGTTGAGGAAAATCGATGAAGGGATCGAAATGAAACTCGCAAATTTATGATTATTGTAACATAGCTAATCTGTAGTGTTCTTGATGAGTAGAAGAAAGAAGCTTGCATCGAAATAGATCATTATGAATTGTGGAGGAGTACGATAGCTTACGATTAGATCACTTTCATGCAGTTTTTATTCATTAATGCAAACGCGAATATTTGTACGAATATTGGTCTGATGATCATTTGATATTGTCGTCATTTGTGTCTTCCTTTGTTGACAGTCGTTACTTATAGATTTGCATTAGTTCTTGTGAATTAAGGAAGTAATGACTGGTCTCTTTTTGAGCCAAATGTGTGCCCTACCATGTTAACCTGAAAATGTTGCATATTCCATTCTTTAAAAGGGCGTATTGCTTCCTTTTTTTTTTTGCATTAGAGTACTCAAATTCTTCCAACAAGAATGTTTCATAGCATATTAAAAACTTCGAATAACGATGGGAGACGATATCACTGCAGAACCAGTATTTCGTGCAAATATAACACTAAAAAATTTTTCAAAACGGCATATATCGTTCTACTTGACGAATTGAAAACACACAAGTTATTAGAAGACGAGAAGATAAACTGGCTGCTAAAGGACCATTCGGAACGCTTAAATGTCAGAGCAAGTGAACCGCAGCCACTCTGACTGAAATTTTCAAAAAAGCTTCGAGGGTGTGTCATACGCAGTGGGTTGGTTTTAAGATAGGATTCGAGAACGGAAACAGTGTAAGGGTATAATAACAGATGTATGAAGAGGAACAAGCCGTGAATTTAATAACATGTTCTGTTCGCCATTAGCGAAACAACGAGCCATACATAAACGAACTATTGTTGCAATAATCCAGAAGAATCGAGATTAACATCTCAAAGATTTTTGCTACCCCATCCACCCCCTGACCTTTAAAGCAATCAGGGTGCATGACGGCATGTCAGGGGCATGAGAGAGGGTTGGCTGAGAGTGGAATGCGATGAGGGGTGGTGCGGGAGGGAGTGCGAGGGCATCCAGAAATTATCTAGGAAGTGCACGGGGCAACAAAGGTTCAGAACCACTGCTTTAAAGCAAACTCAACCGAGTTAGAATACAATCCTGACAATTAACCCATCCATAAATCCTGTTTAAAAATAAGACGATAATGTTCATCACCAAAATGCATGATTCGTTGACGGTTCTAATGGAGAAGCGGATGGGATATTAAATTCGACTATCTCTAAAGTTTGCATTGAAACAAAACAGAGGGTATCGCCGACGATCGTGAGCAACTAGTTGCTACCTGTCGCTTATTGCGTCCCCCTAAAGGGTATTCTATGAATCTTGGCAAGAATTCTCCGTTCAAAAGTACTAAATTTGTGAATGAAGCTATATCCAGATTAGAACAGAAACAATGCCTTTCGACTAGGAGTTCTTCCGCAGAAATTAAGATATATGCTTCAACGGTTTGTGGGGGTGGGGTGGAGAGTATGTGCAGTATTTATTGCTTTTATTGTGCCACTACTACAAACACTAACTGCAATGCATTTTATTGTTGTTGGTAAGCTGTTTCGAGTGGACACACAGCGAAACCTTTAAAAAATAGACGTTGCTGGTACTGTAAAAAAGATACTGAAGTAAGAAGAGTTTATGTTTTGTGTAACAAACACGTTTCAATGAAATATGATGAAACAATCTGATTGAACTGCACTTCTTGTATCTAACAAGTGGATCTTGCAAGGGTGCATACCAGTATTTGATACAGGCTTTGACTGTTGACCACATGTTCCTAGAAATCTCTAGGTAGCGCACGTACCACGGAGAATACCATGTGCGGCGAAGAACAGCCAGTTTTGGAGTATGGCTCGAGATATATGCAACGAGTCCAGACGTCGGCAAATTCGGAGCAGTCTAGAAGCGTTGAAAAATGTTCAGTCTCTTCAATTTATTCATCA